ATAGCTCCTGCAGGCTGGTGGGCTCTGATGCCAACCGTGACACGAGAGCCCCTGTTCCGTTTTCGGGTTTGTCAAAGAATGGCATGTCTTGACGGAGCGTGTTGTTGAAGATTTCGCCGCGGTAAAACTTCATGGTAGTCTGCGCAACAATGTTGGACAACCACCCAGCAACAGCATATAGCACGAGGTTTCCCAAGGCCACAACGAAGAACATGAGAGCAAAAAAGTTGCCCTTGTCAACGTCAATCGTTTCAAAAGCTTCCATCGTCTTGGAGAACAAGACGGCAAGTGCCGGATAGGTACCGCCTGTAGAAGAACATTAGCATGAGAAGGCCCAAGCACTGAATGAGGATAGTTTACCTCCAGCAACACAGGTCAGAAAAATAACAAACGCCGGCCACCACAGAGTCCTTTGCTCTTTAAGAACTAATATCAGTCCGTGTAGTAGGCCGTAATGCTTCCCTCCGGCCCTCGTCTCCTCATGCATCGTACCCGTCGTCGAGGCCCGTGTGAGCTCTTTTTCCATGTCGACTACCCGCGCATCCTTGTCATGCTCAGGCTCATCTCCCATAGAGTCAGAGGTCTTTCCCAGGTCTTGGGCTCGAACAAGCCGAGCATACGCTCCTGCCCTTTCAATCAATTCTGAGTGTGTTCCGTTTTCGACAGTTTCGCCTTTGGACATGACGATTATGTTATCCGCATCACGAATCGTCGATAATCGATGGGCAATAATAACCATGGTCCGGCCCTTGGCAACATTATTCAGTGCAGCCTGGACAATTTTCTCGGCATTTGGGTCGAGAGCACTAGTAGCCTCGTCTAATAAGAGCACCTTGGGGTTGGAGATGATACTGCGGGCAATGACAATACGCTGCTTCTGGCCGCCCGACAACGACGCGCCCCTCTCGCCAATCCAGGTGTCATACCCTCTTGGCAGATCCTCAATAAAGTCGTGAGCAAAGGCCGCTTTACAGGCCTCAATCACAAGAGGTTTTCGCACTTCGTGAGGCAAACCCTCCTTGTCCGTGCCCGTAAGACCATCTACAACATTCTGGTAAATGGTGCCACTGAAAAGAGTAGGCTCCTGTTGAACGAGTCGAATATTGGTCCTTAACCAGCGCAGGTTGAGATCTTCTAGCTTGGAATTGTCAAGTGTAATGGTTCCCGCAGAGTAGGTATACCAACGCTCTAGCAACCCAAATATTGTACTCTTTCCGGAACCACTGGCACCTACCAGCGCGGTAGTCTTATCCGATGGAATATCCAAGTCTAATCCATGCAATACCGGAACACCGGGACGGGAGGGATACGCAAAGCGCACTTTGCGAAGTTTAATATCACCCTTGAAATTCTCGATGGTCTCTCCGCCCTCTGAAAGAGAGTCGATCGCGGATTGTCGGTCAATAATGGCGAAGAGGTCTTGAGCCGCAGCCATTGCTTTCGAAATGGCAATTGTCTGCGGTGCAATTTGCGTGAGAGCTTGGGCTGCCACCAGGACGGCAAAAATCACGCTTCAATAGGTTAGCAATAGATTATGACCAAAATAGATATTTCAAGACTCACGTAACAACTGTGCCCGGATTTTGAATCTCGCCATCAGAATACATCCTCATTCCTTGCCAAAAGGCCAACGCATATCCTGCAATGACACTAAAGAACTCAATGGGAAACATGATAGCATAGACCAGAGACTTTTTCTTGCCAATCTGTCGAGCCCTCTCTAATATCCGGTCAAATCGCATGGTCAGCTTGGGGAAGGCCCAGAACGCGTGGGCAGTGCGGATGGTTGCAAAAGCTTCTTCAGCAAGCGACCCCGATTCGGCGTATATATCGAACATCCTATACTCGTACAATGCATCTACATAGATGGAGCCCAGTGTGACTATGGCATTGAATGGCACAATGGCTAGTGTGATGAGTGTCAATTTCCATTGTACTATAAACGCAACGACAAAGGCAGCCACAAACATAGAGAGAGCCTGGATGATGAGTCCAAGCTTCTCTGATATGCCGTTGTTGACGAGATTTCCGTTGGTGGTGATTTGGCCAGATACCGATGAGGAAGGACTGTCGAAAAAGGAGATCTCCTGGCGCAGAGTCTGTCGCACAAAGTCGACTCGAAGTTCCTTGGTTGTGCGGATGGCAGTAATATTGACGAGGCCCTGTATCAGTCAGTGCCACGGCCCCAAGGCAACGATACGTCTCAAAACTAACCGTCCAAAGGAAGGTCAAGCAAAATTTGGCAATAAAGAGATATACAAAGTACAACCTGTGCGAAAGACCATATTAGTACAGGTGGCATAAAAACGGCACGAATCAACCTACGTAAAGTGGCTAACTTCGTCCATGTACCCATCGGGCGACAACTTGCCGGTAACGAAGTTGTTAAACGTATTGACAAACTTTCCAAACACAACGTCCATCAGAGGAAGAACTACGCCTGCACCTATCATGCCCAGGCAGGCGATGACGTTCAAGAGCCATCCTAGCTTATCGTTGTATGTGAAGACACGCTAGGTTTTCCCGTCAACTTCCACGCTAGACTTGGAGTAGAACATGCTTGGCAGTGACGTACGAGAAAAGATGTGAAGCTTGAGCTTCCACTGGCTTGTTTATTGGGTTTGACGTCGGGTTGGTCAGCTTCTTCGGGAGTTGTGGTGGTAGACTCGCGGGAATTGCCGGGGGGCGGCGAGGCAACTTTGGCCGCCTCTTTCTGTTCCACGCCCATGCGTAGATATATGGTCAAGGACAGGTGTAACACAGTTTATCTCAAACTAGTATGAAGAGGGCGAGTTCGGGGGCTTCGAGGCAAACACGTCATGGAGATTTCCTCCTTTCTTCCGTGACAGAGACGGCTCCGACAGTCGATATACCAGCTGCGGGAGTGGGCTGTGTCTTTCCAGAAATGTTGCGTAACGGCCAGGCTTGCGTAGCTTGAGGAGAAAGACGGCCACCGTCAAGCTGATTGGAGGCCCGGGGTGCAGAACGACTCGCCGATCTCTAGGTCATGTCAAGGAGGGAGATTTGTTTATTATACAAGGAAGCGGGATCGGACCAGATTTGCGTCGACGGCTTGGTGGAGCAGGAAAGGCAATTGCTGGCGTAGTAGGAAATAGTTGGCCTAGTCAGAATCCGCCACATGAATTGGCCCGGCCCGCATGTCCTCTGTGCCGAATATTCTAAAGTTCTCTGATTGTCGTCAATGAGTCCGCCACATCCTGGTCAAGTTGGTCGCCAGTCCGCCGAGCTCAGGCAGGGGGTCTGGCCGTGCGATACCCGTCATGCTCGGGTCTGGGTCAAGGGCAGGAGTAGCAGGCCGGAAGTCTCAGAAGCGCAACATGTCATACAAAGCAACAAGCTTCGCGTGGGAGATGGCAAGTCGATTGACGAGATTCGCGTGGTCCTTGCGTTGCATCAAGTCACGCCGAAGCGGTTGGCGTTCCGCCAAACCCTCGAGTGCCCCGAGCTTGTCTCTATTTGGCATGGTTCGGTCTGCGGCCGCAGTCGACAACGGCAGGATAAGGCAGGAGCCACGCAGCTTGGCAGGACGAAGCCTCTGCGGCTGCCGCGGCGTCCGCGGGGCCCGAGCAACCAGAATTGGTCATATGGCGAAGGGATTTGCCTTTAATCCAATCACGTCCAAGAAGCCGTCAACTTTGTACACCACAATTTCACTTTCCATCGCCAGCCAAAGAGCTTGCATTTGCCATCTGCCATTAGCCATTCCATTTGCCATTTTCTGCTCGGGCCCGCTGCTGAAGACGGAAGGCAAACTCGGCCGTTATTTACCTGCACCGACGCACCGACCCAGACAGAGGAGAGGGAGTCGACGTGTGGCCATCACAATAAACTCGGGTCTGTTGGCCGTGGCCGGTCTGGTGGCACCCCCCGCCAATCCTTCGCCTAGGTGGAATCAATGGAATCTGACACCGACATCCGTTGAAACCGTCCAAACGCTCTGATTTGATAGTACCAACCAGTAATCGTTACCAGCAGGCCTTCGGTGTAGGGCTGGACCGCGAAACTGGAACTGCACTTTATTCACCTCCAGCTGCCGCCCCTCCGTCGCTTTCCACCCCAAGACAAACCTGCAAAAGAAGGGCCATGCAGAATTCGGCCCAGGGCCTGGCTCTGTCTCACGGAGGAGTTGCCTCCGCGGCCGCCGACGATCCCAGCGGCCGACGAGCTGTAAGTTGTATTCAAGCCGCATCCCGGAGTCCTGTTTGCACCCAAGGTACGGCAGAGGACGCAAGATGCCCTTGACCCTTCATCCATCTGCTGCCGTCTTCGGACCCGTGCTGCTGTGTGTCGCCGTGTCGCGGATCCGTCGCCGCCGTCCTCGCCTATTCTTGCCTGCATAATTGTGTCTTGGGTTGATATTCATTGTTGCCAATTCGTCCACGGAGCATCTGTGCTAACCACTAGGTCTTCGCGCGTCGCAGTGTGATCAATGTCGACTAAGAAAGGTACGTCATAGTACCACCTTGCATCCCCAGGGTGGCCGACAATGGGGGAATGAGCACCATCATTCCATTGTATCACCATTCAATCATGCCCTTCACTACATACATACTTATGTATAAGTACCCTTGAGCCTTCACCATCCTCTTTGCGCATCTCACCCTGCCGCTAGCCTGCTCTCCGGCCCCGGCCACGTCTGGCCTTTGCGCGGCTTGCGCCCATTCCACCCTTCATGATCCATGACGCTGACTGTAGCTTCATCTTGGCCGTATATAGATTCGCTGTGATAAAGACTGGCCATGCTCAAATTGCCGCACGGCCAAAAGATCTTGCACCTCCACAGGCGCCGGCCAGCGGCCGAAAGAACCTCGACAGCGTGTTCTCATTTCATCACAATAGTTAGTCTGCCTGCCTTGATATCCCACAAACCTTCTCAATACACCTCGTTCGCGAGCAACCCCTCACAAGCCCCCCTTTATTTATTTACTGCTGTCGGCGTCATGACCGTCTCAACTTGACTTGGTCTCGCAAACGCCGTCATGCAACTACAATTTGCCAGACTCGCAATAGCACCTCATCTTGCTCCTACGTGGCAAGAACAAACTGCTGACTTGGAAACTCATCCGTCGTACCTCACCCACAGTGAGAAGAAGATTGATCAAATTGAAAGCCGCTTGGGCAATATTGAGGTACTCCTCAAGAATATCGCCAATCCAGCTGCACCTATCCAGTTTCACTATGACCCGACGGCCGCAGGCAACACACCACAAACCGGTAGCAGTAGTATCCCAACTGCTGCCTCAACCGGCGACTTTGACAGCAGCGACGATGAATCCGCCTACGGTGGTGATACGGGCTTGATTGCCCATACCACCTTTGCCAGCGAGTTCCTCGAGAGTGCCGTCAAGAGAACATCCCTCCGCGAAGTGAATCCCAAGATGGCTGCCGGCTTGAATAACCTAAGCCAATTGGTCGAGATGCAAAAACGTCGATCAATAAGTCACGGTCCCCGGTTTCCTCTCCAGAAGCCTGTGCCGCCGGGTGGCATCTCAAAGCTCCCTATGCCGCCCATGCAGGCAGTTGTGAGTCTTTTAAAGCACGCCAAAGGTACCATCCCTTTTTTTTTGGTTCTTTTCTCACCCCGTATACTTCAAGCCAGGCAAGCTAACACTCCACAAGCTGCTCCGCCAACCCTGTTCACCATCATGTGTTCGCTCGTCGGGCTGCCAGACTTTACCGGGCTGTGTCGCAGGGTGTATTTTGCAACAGAGGAGTTTTCTGACGCCACATTCATAATTGTAAATGCCATGCTCTATAACCTTTTCATGGAGCAAAACTCACTTGCTACCGACCCCATGGCACGGGATGAGTACCACGCATATATGAGTCAGAGTCAAGCCAACCTTGAGACTGCTCTTGCGAATACACACCTATTCCTGGCAACAAGAGTCGAAAATGTTCAAGCATTACTACTAGGCGTATGTAACCCCCCAAACAATCATGGATCATGGAGGTGTCTTGCTAACATATTCAACCCAGGCTCTCTATGCTGTGGATGTATCCCGCCCTTCAGTCGCGTGGCATTTATCCTGCATGGCGGCTCAGCTCTGCCAGACTGGTGGATTTCATCGCTCGGAATCGCTCAAATTCGACCCGCCAGCAACAGCCAAGTTAAAGCGGATACTCTTTTGGCATGTGTACACTCTTGACAAAGGTCTAGGCCTCAGGCTTGGTCGAGCCCCAGTCATACATGAGTGTGACATTGATATCCCGCGTGTATTCGAGTTTGATGGTCTGGGGCAAGAAGACTCATCAACCATTCCGACCCTCTGGATCAAGATGAGCTATCTGCAAAGTCGAATCTACGAGCAGTTGTATAGCCCGAGCGCCCTGAAAAGCCCACCGGCAGATCTCGTTGAACGAGCAAGAGCCCTTGCCAGCGAGTGCCGAAAATTTGAAGTCGAGGCCGACAAGGCCCGTAACGAGACGTACGCCTACCTCAAGGCGGTCAATTCGTCTGATCTGGTTGACGTGTTCTTGCGAGGCGACGAGGTTCAGTTCCAGGTCACCTTGACACTGGTATATCGCGTCATCCCCGCGCCTGAAGGCTCAGTCAGTCGCTTTTGCGACGAGTGCTTGGCCACGGCTCGAAAAGCCATGAAGGTGCACCAAGAGTGCACCAAGAGGTCTACGATAGGTGGCTATTTCAGATCAATTTATATCCATTGGTAGGTCTTTTTGTGGCCATTCCTTTGATGACTATTGATACACAATGTTGATACAGATCCTAGGAACCTTCTCCTTACCCCATTCGCGCCATTCTTCGTCCTCTTTTGCTACGTCATCGAAACCGGCTCCCTGGATGACCTCCGATTACTCCAGGAATTCGTCGACTCTCTCGACGAAGCAAGAGACGCCTCGGAGACGATTGAGAAGCTCTATCGTCTATGCCAAGTCATGTGCGACGTGGCCGGCCTCTACGTGGAAGCCAAGTCCCAACAGCAGCAGGACCAGACCATGGTCCCCATCGGCGACGAGTTCGAAATGTACCTCAGCCAGCTGGGCTTTATGCCCACCGAGGACCAGGCCATGGGAAATACCAACGCGGCCGGCGGTCCACCGCCACTCAGTGGTCAGGCCGCACAGATAGCGGACTGGTTCTCCGGGAACCGCAATATGATGGGCCTCTTGGAGGAAGATTTATCGCATATCGATTCATATCGGTGGATGCAGCAGCAGCAACAGCAGCAAGCGGCACAGCCGCAGCAGATAGTATCTCCGCAGGTACCTCTGGCACAACAAACCTCTCCCATGTAATGACTTTTACCTGGCGTTGATTATTTAATTTTTTTTCCTGTTTTGGGGTTGAGATCGGGATCATCACGTAGTTATGAGTTATGGCATGTGAACCTATACCAGGTCGAGTTTGGCTCGGCACAAGTTATGACGGTGGTGTACTGAGGCGGGTTGGCGAAAGTTGGCCCACGGGCCGATTGCTCCTTGCATATAATCCATCCCATAGTCAAAAATAACATGAGCGTTGCACGCTAGAAAACCGAATTGTACCGTTATCATTGTGTCATACTCGTGGCGTAAAGAAGAAAGAGAAAAGGAGAAGAAATGAATCAGTCGGTCGGATACCGTGGGTCGTAGACCTCGTACCCTTCGTCTTCCGTGTCGCTCTCCACCAGGGAGTCTTTCAGGACGGGCTTGACGGGCGGGCTCGGCGCGCTCTGCACCGTCTTCTGGACACCGTCGGCCGGCGCAAAGGCACTCTTGAACCCAGTCTTTTTGAAACCGCCCTTTTTAAAGCCCCCCGCGGCGGCACTGCCCGAGCCGCCCTCCTGGCCGGGCAGCTTGATGCTCACCAGGCCCTCGGCCTTGGCCTCGGCCTTCCTCGCGCGGGCGCCGGCGTTGGGGTCCCGCACCATGGCCTTCATGTCCTTGAGGCGCTGCTTGTGGGAGTGGTCGTAGCTCGAGAGATGGGCCTCGTAGTCGTTCATGCGGGAGTAGCCCTTGGAGCAGAGGTTGCAGTAGAAGGATTTCTGGGCCTCGCGCGCCGACGAGGTCTGCGCCGGGGGCAGGGTCTGGTGGCGCTGCGGGCAAGGTCAGCTTGGCAGGAAATCGCGACAGCGACGGGCTCTTGACGTACGGGAGGCATGGCGGGCGGCGAAGGCTGCTTGGACACGGCCTTTGTCGAGAGAGAGAGAGAGAGAGAGAGAGCTTGGGGTGCGAAGATGGGAGACGGACGTTGGGAGGTGAAGTCTGGTGGGCGCCAGAGAGCACCACATGCAGGCATCGACCAGACTTGAGGTGGGCTCCGCTCCAGGGGCCGCAGCCACTGACAGGTGCCGGAATTAGCGTGACCACGCGACTCGCGCCGCACATGCAACCAGACGCCAGATTCCCCAGGCAGCTATGTAACTTATTCTGTCTGGTATCAGAGTCGGCGCCCGATTCCACGTTGCCAACAACAACATCGAGTCGCATCTCGTCAACCCGCAGGACGACGTGTTTCCGCGCGGGCTCCCCCACCGTTGCGCGAGAGCCATGGACACCCCAGGCGGGCAGGGCCTGCACCACAAAGAATCCCAAGCGACGCTCATCTCCCTCCTCCAGCTCGACCCGTCGCCCATGGACTCGCCGTCGCCCTCGGCCGCCGACAAGGAGAGCAGCCTCCCCGCCGGCCAAGACACCGCGTCACAAGACGAAGGCGGAAATGGCTCAATACGCAGCGGCTCGGCCGGCACAACCAGCCACCTGGGCCTGAGCAGCGGCCGCAGCGCCATATACTACTGTCCGTCCTCGCAGCGCGCCGTCCTCCCCTCCGCACGACTGACATGAACAGCAGTGACGCGGGTGCAGAGATACTCGTCCTACGCAACGGGCGTCTTCACGGCCCTCCACCTCGCCAACGTGTCCCTGATACCCGCCGTGACGCGGTCCGTCGCCGGCTCCGAGACATACCTCCTCATGACGCGCGAGATCTACCAGACGCCCGTTGCGGAGCCCGTGCTCGTGGCGCTCCCCGTCGCGCTGCACGTCGGCGCCGGCCTGGCCCTGCGCCTGCTGCGGCGGTGGCAGAACATGGAGCGCTACGGGGGCGGCACGCCGGGCATGTACGCGCTGCACAGGATGCGGGAGGCGCTGTCGGGCAAGGGCGCCGGCGGCGCGGTGCGCCTGTGGCCGCCGTTGACGTACATTTCCTTGTCTGGGTATGCGCTGGCGCTATTCTACGGGGCACACGTCTTCATGAACAGGGTGGTGCCGCTCGCCGTCGAGGGGGACAGCTCCAACATTGGGCTGGCGTATGTCGCGCACGGCTTTGCCAGGCACCCCGTCACGTCGAGGCTCGCGTACCTGGGGCTGTTGGCCACGGCGAGCGGGCACATGGTTTGGGGGCTGGCACGGTGGTTCGGCATGGCGCCGTCGACAGAGGGCTGGAGAGGCAGGGGGAGCGTGGCCGTGGACAAGAAGACGAGGACGCAGCGGAGGAGGAAGTGGTTGAGTGTTCACGGAGTCGCTGCTGGGCTTGCGGCGTTGTGGGCGATAGGGGGGCTAGGAGTTGTGGCAAGGGGGGGATTGGCGGATGGCTGGGTGGGAAAGGTGTATGATGGGCTGTTTGCGAGCGTGGGCATGTGATATGATGACGAGACCTGAATGTAGAATGATTCCCGAGAGCATACCGAGTACTACTACTACTACTGTACTCTGACAATAGAAGAATAATCACGGCTGCTTGGGTGCGTGGGAAAAAGGGGGAGGGGGGGGTTCGAAAAGATTGCAAAGATGCGAAGGATGCTTGCGTGAGGCGCCGAGGTTTGTTCATGGCCTACATGTAGCTGATGGTACAGGACGAGTCAAAGCATCTGAGTCGGCAATAGCCGTTGGCGGCTGAAGACGCAGGGTGAAAGCTTATTCCTTTCTGCGCCCGGTGAGCGGGACTAGAACAGCGGCCAGTGCAGCATCTGATCTCGCTCCAATTGCGCCGTTGACATGAAAATCCGCGGCCTTTTTTGTTCTTCCGAGTCGTCTGGTGGTTTTTCCATGTTCAGGGGTACATCTCTTTGGGCCGGGAATGTGGCGTGGTTAGATGGCGCTCTTCATCTACATCGACCACGACCCGTATAAGTATATACGTATGGTGTTGAGCTGATGGGAAGGGTAGCACGGTCTCTGTCACTGTCATTACATGTGAAAATTCATCACGATGGCAGCCACGCTGGACAGGCATCATCAAGTTATCTGCTGCATTTACCCAGTTACAGTGGGAGGCAAAAAGCATTTGACCCGAACAGGTACCTGGCTATCACGCCCATTGCTCTAATACACGACAGCATATTAGTGTATACTTCTCGACAGCCAAATATATTCTGCCAGACTATATACAAGCCATCACAGCGTCAATTGATAAGTCAACATGTTCAGGGGCTTGTGCGGCAACTCGGAGCATCTCGTTATCGACGAATTGCTCACCGTTTTTTCAATACTAGTATATTCATCCCAGCAAAGCTTCGAGACCGAAAGGGATTCGGTAATTCGTCGTCAATTAACACCGACCGTCAGGAGCAGTCGCGGAAACACGGGTCCAAGCCTTGAGGAGACAAACCAATCCTGGTCCTGCACCTATAATTGGTCAACAGTCAGCCTGCCACAAAAAAGCAAAACAATCAGCTCGTTGCCCCTTGCTTTTTGGGCTTCACTAGTAGCGTAGTCACTCCGCACTAAGCATGTACTCGGTACAGAGTACTCCGTACTTTGATAGCAATGGATGTGATTAGATGACGCGCTTGATGCTCAACCGCACAATTGTTTCTTTTGGTAGTCCGCATCTGTGCTTGGGGAGGTCGAACTGAGAGGAGTAAAGACGGCCTCTATCATATTCCATGAATTGAGGCCTAGTTTGGCATGGTCATTTGCGAGCCTCCCATGGCCGAGCGTCCATCTGCTCGAACTGATTTGACGGATGAATGGTTTGAGTTTGGAGACGGGTCGAAAAAGACTTGCGTGGACTGTGGGGTGGCCAAGACATGTCGCTGCCTTGGATCTTGAACATCAATGGCGCAGAGAGCGTGATGCGGAGACATGGGCTGCATCTGTTCTACGCAGGGGCAGAGCTGGAAACGCTTGAAAAGCTGGAAAGGCCATGATAATGGATGAGAGGCAGAGAGCTGCAGAGAGCTGGCCAGGAACAACTCGGCACTTGGCGGTGGCAGCATTTTACAAACATTTGAAGGACGTGCGCTGCAGCTCACTGGCTCCTGCCCTATTTCGGTAGTCACCACGAGGTAGCTCCTTCCTTCCTTTAACTGTTCCGTCCCTCACTAGCCAATGGCGCGTCACTCCCTGGTGAACCCCAACCCAACCCCCCACCATGGACTTCTTGTCGACATCCTCCATAAAATCCCCAGTCCTGCCGCGTCCCGGATGTATCGATATGAGCGCTTTCAAACCAGCCCTCGTCGTGTCGTGTCTTGCCTTGCCTTGTCTTATCTTGTCTTATCCCGACCGGCTGTCTCTTGGACTTGTCTCTCTTCCTGGCGGGCAACTCTCTTTCCCGGTGACTAATAGCTGCTGCTGTTTTGCCGCCGCACCTAGCTACGCCGTCTCCCTCGTCTGAATGGCACATCCTTTTTTCCTCTGCCACGAATGAGCCTTCACTGTTTAACTACGAAATAGAAAGCTGGCGGCGTCTGTCGAGCTGCTTTGCCTACGACAATGACTATGCCGAACAAGCGCAAACTCGTCCAATATGGAGAGGCGGAAGACCGTGACGATAGCTGCACCCAGACCAATTCTGACGCGAAACCGAACCAACCGTCGTCGCAGCCCCTAACCAAGCGCCTTCGAATTATAGGCCCGCCGCATACCCGTGATATTATATCAACGCTATCCGATGAGCTACTCATCCGGATTCTCTCTTTTCTAGATGAAAAGACGCTCCTTGGCGTATCTCCCGTGTCCAGGCGCTTCAACCGCATCACGTCTGATTCACAACTATGGCGACCGCACTACTACCGCCGATTCATCTTGCCCCGAGCTCATATGATCCCTGGTTTCCGCACAGGATCCACCCGGAGCTCCAGTAAGCTACGATACTCGACCAGCAAGACCATTTGGGCTGACGGGGGATGGGGGCGAAGAGGCGGCTTTGTCGGTGGACCCAACGAAACTGCGGCAACTGGTCCTGGGGAGCTCGTAGACTGGAAGAAGCAGTACAAGTTGCGACACAACTGGGCTCGGGGGGCCTGCGCCGTCGACGAAGTTCAGGTCCGTTGTGTCGAACGAGACACCCCTGCGGCAGAATGGCAGACCATGGTCAAGGTGGTCGATGGCCTGGCAGTCACCGTGGATGGGACGTCGGGCTTGAGAGCGTGGGACCTCAAAACTAGGCGACTTATTGCACAAGCAGACCTTGGGAACAACAAGGAGACAAATCAGCCCAGCTGCTTGGCAGTTGATGACTTGCTGCTTAATACCGGGAGACTAGATGTGGCCGTGGGGTTCGAAGACGGCACTTTTGCCATCTGGAAGTTGGAAGTCAAAACTGGAACGATCGGTATACTGTACCAGCATGCAAAGAATTATTTTGGCGAATTAGTCGCCATTGCGTATGCACACCCGTACATATTTACGGCTTCGAGGCTTGGATTTATTTCTCTGTTTTCGTTTGAGCACCCGGACGACGGGACAGCTTCAACTCGAGAGTCAGATATCGGACCCGAGAGCGGTGTGCGCAGGTCATCAGTGGCAGAGTCTGGAGAGACGGTTCCTCCCCCGGGCTCCCAATTCACCCAACCGCGTCTTCTCACCTCGCTCAAGTCTCACACCACACGGCCACCGCTTGCCCTATCAGTACGTCGCATGGCAACTTCAGTCATTGCCTCGATCGCATACACCTTTGACGCCGTCGGGGGATGGTCCATTGGCATACAGGACCTGGACATTAGGCCGTCTGGATCGGCGACGCCAGATATTGTTACCTCGAGAGTTGCCTACACACTGCCAACCCAAACTCGCAGGTCAGCAACGTCGTCCCCGTCCTCTTCACCTTCCCACTCACGGGCCCGCTCTCCAATACCGCTGGAGCCTGAGGAAGACGGCCCTATCCGGCTATGCTACAGTCACCCCTACCTACTTGCCACTTTGCCAGACAACACA